TATATAGCCATCCATCTCACATACATGACTCTGAGCAGCTTACAAAGTTAAAAACATAAAAACATTACAACAAAATTATTCTGAGTCACACCTATCTAGGTTTGTATGTACTGAAGTATCCTACAAAGCTATTTATCTTCCACCATACAACCTCATTTCCACACGACACTTTTGTCATCTGTTTGAGTTCTGGTTATTCTTGTAACCTTCATTGCTCATATTTGGTAGTAATGACTTTAAGACTAAAAGTGCATTAACCCATATTATACTATCCAGTGAAAGCTTTAGAGGAAGTCACCTGACTACTTGTGGTGCTCATAGCACCACATATATATAAGAAGTAGGGATCTAGTTTTACAGCCATAGCAGAATCATGAGGTTCATTCTTTCATTTTTAGGGCTCCTTTTAACACCTCAGGTGGTTGTTCTCAGACGTCGTTTTGACAGGTAGATGTTTCTCATTGTGCTTATTTCCTGAAAGCAAACTTACTAGTTTTACTAGCTTCACTAAGTCAGCATATAAGCAATTAATAGATGCAATCTGGCACAGCACTGTAAGCCTCATGGAATGATTTACAACCATACAGCTCATTGCAATGGAGAGAGGAAGGAAATGGAACAGAATATGACTTTGAGGGTATGGTTCTTGTTTTTTAATTACGCTTTACTTTTATTGAAGTGAGAAAGTATTTCGAGTGAAAGTTCAGAATGAAAACCAACTAAATGATTTGAAGGACCTGGCCTCTATGATACAGGTGAGGGGTTTTTACCATATGTACCATATCTTTTTTCATATCATTTTAACAGCTTTTGCAAATAAAAAATGTTTCACTTATGTAAATGTGCTCTCAATGCATAATGATAGCTGCAAATGAAGAGAAGTTGTTTCTGGTATTCTGGTAACCTCTTTATATATGTGCAGATGTGCCAAGAAGTCTATTTTAGCTTAAACAAATACCCAAATCTTTATATGTTAATTTTAAATGTAAAATCTTGCAGTGAAACTATACCTCAAAACAAAAACTGCATGAAGCTCTTTGGCATTTTTTATTGTTCTGATCTTGGTGATGATAACATGGTTATTAATGGATGATAACAACCATTAATATACTGTAAAATATTTACATCAAATACTGGAAGACTAATGAAGATATGTTGTAAGGGGCAAATATTCAAATATGTGGGTATTATTTGACATTTTATTATTTTAGAAGATATGCTAGAATATAGAAAGTAGAAAACAGTACATGAAGGAATCCCCTCAATACAACTTTATTAGTAGCTTCATACTGTCATTCAATGGCCTCATATTATCAATCGGCACTTTTTTTCTCCCAAAGCTATCTGTTTTTTACAGGTAGTCCTTGGTTAACAATGATAATTGTTACTTTGAGGACAGGTCATAGTACTATTCATTCAGCACTGTCATAACTTCAGTCATTGAACAAGTGGTCATTAAATGAGACTACCTGTAGTCAGTTTTGTTTTCCTATACTCAGGTAGACATAGAGATGATGAATTCATTTGTAAGGAAAATAAATCAGGATGACCCTATTATTAGGTATGGTGAAGTGGCTACATTGACCAGCTGATGCTGTAGGTTGTGGCAGTAAAATGTTGGACCTCTGTATCTCCTGGTATCTCTTGGTACAGGAAGATGGAAGATGCCTTATCATTAGTGCTGAAGTTGGATTCAGTTAATCTGGTTAGGGCCAGTTGGTAGAATACAATATTCTATTCTGTCTCAGAATGTCTCAGAATAACAAAATGTCTTCTACCTTGGAAGAGAAAGAAAGTTGTTTCTCTCTAACAGCTAGAAATACATTTACTACACGATTCCTATTTTGTGTTTCCATTCTTAAAAATGAACTTGACACATTTTTTTTGCCCAGCTTGACTTTTGGCATCCTCATTCAGTTCATCATGTTCTCATTGGAAAAGAAGTGGATTTCCGAGTCAGCTCAGATCAGACAAACTTTGCTGAAAAGTTCCTGGAGCAAAATCAAATGCAGTACAAGTATGTGGTTCACGATTCAGATTCATGAGATTGTATGTTACGTTTACTACAATGATTACAAATAAATTATCAGCAATTTAATTAAAAATGTAAATGCAATCCAAATAGAATTATACAAATGTGTTTAGGAGACAGAAGGAAGGGGAGAGAGATGAAGAGTGAGAACATGCCAATAAATTAAAGAGAATTTAAACCAACTTAAATGAACCTCTCTTTAATCCAGAGTACACAACATATCAAGGACCACACTTTAAAAGTAGATGGGGCCAAGACCCATTTCTGAATAGGAGGTCAGGGGCTTTAAGGGGAAGAACAGATGCTTTAAGCCTCTTCAAAGCTTAAGGCATCCATTTGGCTCTTTAACCTTCCTTTCAAACTTTGAAAATTACGAACAAAGGAACAAAAAAAAAGAGGCTGAGATGTGAGGGAAATAGGATTGATGGTGGGCTATACTTTTGCACTCTTAGTTTAATCCAGTTTTTAAAATTATATATTGTGCTACATCTACATATATGATAGTATGTTTGTACATATGTACAACATAAGTCGCTTTAAAGTCAATGCTGTTTATTTATTTATTTATTTAT